GTTAGTTAAAAAGCAGTTGGCATAAATGCAAGAAGAAAAGTAAAAATAAAAGTGGAATTAAAATCTATATTTTTAGATGAAAAATGTTTTAGCTGATGAAGAAATATCTTATTTTTATTATTTTGTTTAATGGCACACAAATTCATTATTAGCTACATTTTTCAAGCAAAGGTCCTTCATTTATCTCTGTCTGTTTTGTTAATGATGGCAGGTTTGGTCCTCCGTAGCTCTGAATGTTTGACAGCTGGAAAAGATGAAATGTTTTCCTGTGCAGAAACCTCAGAGGCCTCCGTCCGACGACGAGGATGAAGAAGTCGACGACGACGAAGACGACGGCAGACTTCAACCAACAACCAAGAGGGCGGCGTCCCGCGAGCGGCCGGGCCGCGCCAGGAGGGAGGTGAAGTACTACAACGAGTCTGAAAACGAGGAAGACGATGAAGACATGTTTGATTGAGCCCGCCCCGCCCCGCCCCACCCGCCCGGAAGGCTCCGCCTCCTCTGTTCCCTCAGACTTTTGTACATTTTCCCTGTTTTATTTTTTCATTAATGGTGGCATTCAATGATTTTTAACGTGTAGGTGTTTTACACTTTTATTAATATTCATATACAGGTTTGTTTTTTTACGCTCATTGAGATGTTCCGTGTCTGAAGCAGCTTCTAGGGGTTTAGAGCGCCGGTCTGTAGCACATTTTAACTGTTCAGATGAAATGTAACTTTTTGAACATGAAGTTGGAAGTAAAGAATAAAAAGTTCACAGATCTTCTGTCGCTCTCCTCTCTGACCCGATTAGAACCCATCCTGGTACCGGTACCAGGGAGGACCACGTCCAAAGGTGTACCGCCCCCTGCTGGTCAAAGGCTGTCATTTCTCAGTTCACATCTGGATGATTGGGGGCGGAGTTTCAACGGTTAACGGCTGTTGCCATGGAAACTACCAACAGTTAACCTTAACAACTTTATCTTCCAAACTTTTATTTCTCTTTAAGCCCAGAGGGTCCCTGAAATGACATCTGTGAATTAAAGCAAGTTCAGACCCTAAAGCGTTAAATTGGAAATCCAGTCTTTGTGTGACAGGAAGGCAGTGAGGAACATTTTTCAGGTGGAATCTCTATT